AAGGACGTAAGTTCTTCTCACTGGAGTGCGGATGCAGACATCATGCCTGCCTGCGGTCACTTTCCCTCCCCATTCAGCGCGTCACTTTCTTTGCTCGTGTCTGTAACTTTCTGAGCAACCGTGGCATCGCCGGCATCCTGCTTCGGAGCGGTTCGACTCTCCAGGTCGTGAAGCAGGTTGTCTAGATGATCCATAATCCCGTCGAGACGGCTCTCCACGCCGTCCGCGATTCCCTCCGCCGTTTCTAGTCGACGCAGGAGCTCCACGACATCCGGGTCAGATTCGTCGACATTCTGAGATAGGAGGTTGGACAGCAAGTCTATGTCTGCCTGCAGAGAGCCCTGAGACCTGAGCGCATTGTCTGGCTTTGCTTGCGCTTTATCTGAGATAGTTCCAGGCATGGTCGGGTAATGTTACTGGTGGGAGAGCAATGGGTGAGTGCAAGATGCAAGTGAATAAGCGCGAACTTAGAAATATCGACAGTGCCACATAGGTTAGGGTTTGAACATATCTTGGCGCAGTCACCGCAGACCCCCGACATAAACTACCCCCTGATGCATTCGGGTAGTATGCCATTGCTAGCCCATAATTCAACGCCAGCACGTCCAATCATTGTACATTTAATCCAGTGAGTTGTGAAAGAAGGACGTAGTATAGCACATTGACTAAACTACGATACTTGCCTTTCTTGGAAGTGCTGTAACGCTAACTACAGAGCCGCTGCTGCTTGCTGCCTGCTCGCCTCAGTTACTTACGACAGTCATATCGTCTCCTTCCACAACTACCTTGGGTCTACCTAGAACTGCCAAGGCTGCTTCCGCAACATCGATATCTGACCCCAGCTTGATTCTGAACGTCTTGAACGTCTTGAACGCCCCACTCGGCAGCTAGCAGCCATGCAATCCCTAAGGACTCGGAAGTCCGAGTCGCGGCCCAAGGGCGCACAGCGCCAGGCTACCGTACGAGCCCCCAAGCCCGCTCCTCGCAATGCCGAACGCCGGGCAACCCGTGTCGGCGAGAAGATGAAGAAGCGGATGTCGATGCGCTATGCCGACATCTCTGCGCCGACCGACGCGTCCGTCCCCGATGTGCCCGCCATCCCGATTGGCATGCGCGCCGCGTCGTACTCGCAGGAGGAGCAGAGGTACACGGAGGAGCCCCAGGAGGATCCTATGCTGTCGGAGCTCAGGCTGCTGGACAAGGATGACTTTGATCCCGATGCTTGTGCGTTCCCCGGAAGTCATTGAGATTCTGCCTCTGAGCGGTCTGCATAGACCTCAAATCTAAGCTGGCCAACTCCACTGAGGCAGAACTCAGGTCGCTACAGTCTTCCCTGCAAGGGCAGAAGGACAATGTAGCGGTAGACCTGCAGAAGAACGTCTTCAAGAAGTCCGTGCATTTCCCATGTTTGCCTATCCCACGCCTGACGAACTCCCTGCAGCTATGCTGAATTCATGCTCGTCTCCAAAGAAGTGAGCACTCTGGAGAACGAGATGCTTGAGTTCAAGGAGGCGCTTGCAGAGTGGAAGGGGATGCCGTCCCTCCTACATATCGACGATTCGGCGTCAGTCGCAGGTATACACCCCATATTCCGTCAACGCGCCCCTCGCACTGAACAGTACTACAGAACGGCGTCGGAACGTTCGCTCATCGATTGCTGACCTTCGCATCCTATATGCGAACCAGATGCAAACGCTTCACATGCAGATTGAAGGCTCTTCCAAGTTCGTCCCTACGACGCCAGGGCGTCACGTCATCGCCGAAGTCGACAACGTCGTTGCCCTGAACCCCGCTACATACAAGGTCGACCATTCTGTACGCTTCGTGCTGCTTGACGATGCCGTGCTTGTTGCGCGGAAGCGCAAGAGGAGGAACAACGCCGAGAACGACAAGCTTGTGGCGGAGCGGTGCTGGCCTCTCAATGAGATGCTTGTCCTCGACACGAAGGACACTCCTAGTCAGTCTACTTACCGAGGGCGCTGCGCGTTTTACTAAAGCAACCTCTGCAGATATGACAAACGTCTTCAAGATCCGCCACGGGAAGGAGACCCATGTGTACCGCACAGAGATATCGGTCGACAAGAAGAACCTGCTCTCCCAGTTCCGCCACGTCGCGGAAGAGCTCGCCGCAAAGAAGCGCAAGGAACGCGAGGGCGAGCACCAGCGGCGCAAGAGCATGTGGATGGGAGCCGACGTACGCCGCTCTTTCCATACGGGTACCGATATACTCACTCCCTCATGTAGCAGCGCAGCTCAGTAGCATTCAACGGCGACGGCATCCCGCCCCTTCCAGAATGGATGGCCGAGCTTGCGAGCAAGACAGGCGAGCTGGGCGCCACGGCTAAGGAGAAAGCGGAGCGCGACGCACGCTGGACAGGCGACTGGTCGGACGACCTCACCGTCGCGGTTGCTTTGCGGGAGTGGGACCGCGCGGTGGCGCTTGTCGAAGAGGGCGAGAGTAAACTGGCGGTGATGCCTCCGCTGGCCGCGAAGCTCACCCCGCTGAAGGCTTCGCTCATCGCCGCCCTCCTGCAAAGCCTCTCCTCGCCGACGAACAAGAAGTCGACCGTGGTAAGCCTCATTGGCTTGTTGGTCAGGCTAAAGGCCGGTGCCGCAGCTCGGAGTACATTCCTTGCCGCGAGGGCGGACGTGATCAAGAAGTGTGTGCGGAAGATCACGTTCGAGGGTCATATTGGCGCATACATCGGGGACCTCGCAACCGTGGTGTTTACAGGTATCAAACACACCGCCGATTGGTTCCTCGCGAGTTTCAACCAGAACGAGATGGCAAGCAGTACGTGCCCATCTTCTGTACGCGACCATCCTTACTTACTTCTACCAGGCTTCGTTGAGTGGGCGAAACAACAAATCGAGCTCTATGGGGAGATGTTCCGCAAACAAGTCTTCAGCTCCGACGTCGACGCGGAGACGATCGACAACGCCATCCAGATCACCCACCTCCAGAGCAAGAAGGTACGAGCTCCCTCTCTCATTTCCATCCCCACCGTCTGACTTATCATTACACAGCTCCTCGAAGAGTACGGCATCGACTTCCGCTTCCTCCTCGACAACCTCCTCGTCGAGAAACCGCGCGAAGCGACCCGCCCGCCCCCCTTCCGCTCGCACCCCGAGCGCGCACCCGACCCAATCCACACGCCCGCCTCCACGCCCGTGCGCTCGCGCTCCCCCGCCAACGCGCCCTCCACATCCTCCTCCTCCACGCCCTCCCGCTCGCGCACGCCCGCCGTCCCGCCGCTGCCCTCGATCCCGATCCCGCCGCCGTCCGCGATGCCCTCGCTCGCGATCCCGACGCCGACCGCGCCCTCCGGCCGCTCCTCGCCGTCCGCGGCGCGCATGCGGCAGCAGATGATGCCCCCGCCGCGTACCGCGAGCGTCTCGTCCTCGTCCTTCAGCAGGAGCCAGACGCCGACGAACGACGGGAGCGCGCTCGCAAGGCCGCCGAGGGGCAGCCCGGCTCCGCCACCGAGGTCGAGGGATCGGCCTGGGAGCGCGGCGGGGCGGCCGCCGCCGGTCGAGGTGCCGAGGCGGCAGGGTATGTTCTGAGGGATATAGGAGACTGGGATGGATGGATACTGATTGTAGGATAGATATAACTTATACCTTTATCGCTGCCTCCGCGGTGGGATATGCAACGGGGAGCAGTACGATGTGTCATCCAAACCCCAGTCAGTTCCCTCGACTGCATCGTGAAATAGAGGTTTACGAGCATGTGCGATAGGGCACGGTGAATTAGGATTTGGGACCTAATTCACCCTGCTAATTAGCAGTGAATCTCGGAACCCCCTCTCGGGGCGATATTGACATGGGTGAATGACGGTGAATTACACCTGTAAATTAGCACACGGTGAATCACCTCGACCTAATCGCCCGTGCCCTAATGTGCGAGCGTCGACAGCCGCCCGACCTGGCTTTCACACTTCAATCGGTACAGGCTCGCAGCTACACGCTCTGAAGACCACTTAGATCTGCCTGTATTGCCTAGATACATGTACACTGGCTCTTTTTTCATTCGCATTTCACGAGGTTCACGCCGCCGCCATGCGCGGGTTGGACTGGTGCTGCCGAACCCTACGCCGCGCTAAAAACACGTCAGCCCGGCTCCCCCCATTGTCATCCACAACCACACGGCACTCGCCTGACGATCGCCTCGATCTCGAACAGCGCGTCGAGCGGGAGGCGCGCGACCTGCACCGCCGAGCGCGCGGGCTTGTGCTCCCCGAAGAACTCGGAGTAGATCGCGTTCACGGCCTTGAAGTCGTTCATGTCCGCCAGGAACACCTGCGCTCGCGCGTGCGTCAGTGCAGTCACAGGGCTGAAATGAGACTGAGAGGGGGACGTACGGTGGTCTTGATGACCTTCCCGAGCTCGCTCCCGCCGGCCTCGATGACGGCCTTCATGTTCTTCAGCGCCTGCCTCGCCTGCGCCTCGACGCCGCCCCCGACCTGCATATCCAAACGCAAACACAAAGCAGAATGATTAGCCGCGTCTTCCACGTACGCGCGTGAAAGGGGACTGACCAGCTTCATGGCGGCGGGGTCGAGCCCGAGCGAGCCGGAGAGGAAGAGCAGCTCGCCGACGCGCACGGCCTGGGTGTACGGGCCCACTGCGGCGGGCGCGTCTGTCCGTGCAACGTCGCGCGTGAGCATTCCCATACTAATACTTCTCGTCGCGAGCGGGCGTGCGGCTCACCGGGGGTGGAGACGAGGGTGAGGGACGCGTGGGTGGTGGTGGTGCTCATCGTGCGCGTTCTGGATGTGTGGGCGAGGGGACGTGTGAAGGTGCGGGTGGCGAGGGGGGTGGTGTGTCGGAGGGAGAAGAGGAGAGAACGAGTTGCAGTGGGGGGCAAGAGGGTGCGCATGCCGATCGCAATATTCTAGTATAGATGTCCCGTTGGAGTCAGTTCGAAGTCGAGAGCATGGTGCAATCCTACACAGGATAGCTGACGTGATGTTGGGAAACGTATTGCTTCTCTTCACATCTCTCTGTTAGTATATCGGTTAGTACACGCGCTTGTCACTGTATGCGTCCGCGCGAAAGCGGGGTTCGACTCCCCGACAGAGAGTCCTTTTGCTGCCCAAATGTTTGTTTTTGGTCTTACACGAGCTAGCGAGTATGGTAACAATATTCCACGCGCACGTCCAAACTAGGGAAGTGCCGCCTAGGCGTCGGCGTAGACCTTGCGTGTATTCGGAGCCGTACGGCCGGACACGCTCTGCTCTGCCTGGACCTCCGGAGCTGAGCGCTGAGGCCTGAGGCCTGAGGCCTGAGGGACCGGCCGCGGCGCGCAGGAAAAGCTGCTTCAATATTGGGGTCCGGGTGACCTTGCACGCAAGGTAACAGCTGCTTAGCCAAACTAGTGATGTCTACCAAACCACAGACGCCGCATCTATTTCCATACAACCAATATGTCGCTATACACCGATCCCGTCAGCCCATTCGAGGACCTCGATACGATCCCCGATTCGCACGACGCCCTCGCCCCCGACGATGGCATTGCAGCCGAAGCACGGCTTGCTCATTCGCTCGGGGTCCTTGTTCGCGCGGAACTTGAGCAGCACCTTGTACGGCACCGCTGCATCGCGCGTGCCCGTCGTCGTATCTACGTTTGGGAGCTGATGAAACATCGTGAGCAGAGGGCGAAAGGTGCCATGGCGCGGTACGTACGAGGCAACGCGCGCATTTTGACACTAGTGCAAAAGTGCGACATTCTTCGGGGGTGTTGGTGGGACTGACGCTCGGAGCGTCGGCGGCAGGGTGGATACGGATCCGTCGCCACATGTCTTCCGCGAACGGCACCCCCGAACCCTTGAACACGATATTTGGCCGAAACCTAGAGAGGTGATGAGTCCACCCGCCACGGTGCACACTTCCACTGCACACGCACCGTTCGATCTCGACCCCGCCCTCCCTCCACCGCTCGCGGTCGATCCCCCCAATCTGCGCGCTCTTATCCTGCGCAAACGCGCTCACTACGCGCCGCACCTCGCCCAGACTCTCCTCGCCCACGACGAGGAACGGGTAGCCGTCCTGGAACATCGCGGTCTCGTGCAGCTCGGGGAACGCGAGCGTCGGCGGACACGGGCGCGCCGCGGGGCCCTTCATCACGAGGTGCACCGCGCGCCCGAAGTAGTCGGAGAGCACCTCCGAGGGCGTGCTGTCGGCGCTGTCCAGCGCGCGGGGGACGACGAAGCCCTGGATGAGGTATTTGCCGAACATCCGGCAGTCGTCCAGCCTGGGTGGGGGCATTAGCCGCGGGTGCGCTGTAAGCTGGGCGACTGTTACGTACACGGGCCAGTCCTCGAGCATGTCTGGGGTTGGGTAGAGGGGGATGGAGAAGGTCTCGCAGCCAGAGTCTTCAGGGAACGAGATGACTAGTCTGCCGCCATAGGGGGACGCGGGGTCGACTTCAACTCTAGGTGTAATGAGGACCATCTGGGATACGATTTGAGCTTCGCCATGAGGTTATATCGCTGTTCCCTACCTTGGACACTTCCCGAGCTGTGATTATTGCACGGGAATCTGCATCTATGATGCACCATTTCCTGTCGTTCTACATAGCAAAGATTAGGTCGGCAATATGATATAGATCACCCTCGTCTGCGTAGGGGAGACAAGGTCGGCATATGTGAGGGAACGCAACGATAGGTAGGATGACTCCTCATGCAGCGGTACACATCCTATGCCCTCAAGCCTTTCGGGCAGCCTGACGAGCACAAAGGCATCGTAGAGGATATAGCACGAACCTCGAGACCCTCCGGGGTGTATCGCGCCTCCTGCAAAGACGTTCCGCGACAGCTCTGCACGCAGACAAGTTCAGCCACAGGCGCGTGCCCCTGAGCAGCTCGACATACCTTGATAGGGTGCACCAGAATCTTCGAGACCCGGACGTCGCCCACGTCAAAGGGCACGGTCAGCTCGTGCTCCAACGCGTACGCGTTGGCGTATCCGCCCTTGGAGAAGTCATCCTTGAGCAGCTCCGGAGGGCATGCCGGCGCGGCGCGGGTGCGAGCGGCGGACTTGCGGGAGAGGGTCCAAAGGAGGCCTGCGAGGGAGAGGACCAGCACGGACGCGGTGCTGGTCCAGGTGAGAGAGGCTGGGTGTGCAGGGGAGCGGGCAAGCCAGTGTTCTAGCACCTCGACCAAGGAAAAGGAAGCTGCCATCGCCCGTTCGACTCTAGGCGTCTTCGCCTCGACATCCCATCAACCACCGGCCGATGCCGAAATTAAGCAGGCTGACGTCACTCCAGCTGCAAACATCCTCTCTCATCCGTTTGTTTGTATCATGTTACAACATCTAACATGGAGATATATGTTTTAAACATACTCAACTATGTGTATATTGTGCCCGACCACGCAGCGCGCAGTACGGAGCGGCGTATGTCATTGTGACGCATACACTCCCTCCAGCTCTATCTTGCAAGCCACCATGTTCCAAGAATAAAAATATGCCGTATCATAATCCACCGCATATCCATGTGGTCGGGGCTATTTGACAGACTGCAGCATGAGTGGAACAGAGAAACATTCTGCTCACATCCAACACCCCTCCTACACACCACACAAACCTTCACGCCCACCATGAGTGTCCCAGTGTCGTACAAGACCAACCAGCCCAAGAAGCTACGCCAGCTCATGAAAGAAAGTCAGTACCCTCTCCAAGCTAGTACCCCGTGGGGCTGGCTACAGCTCACCTCTTCCTCCACGCAGAAGACTGTGTGATCTGCCCCGGAGTCTTCGACGGCATCTCCGCGCACATCGCCAACGCCGCCGGGTTCGACGCGCTCTACCTCGCCGGCAGCGGCGCGTCCGGCTCCGTGCTCGGCGAGCCCGACCTCTCCGTGATCACCAGCGTCGAGCTCGCCGACACCGCGCGCATGATCGTCAACGTCTGCGACGCGCCCGTCGTCGCCGACGCCGACACGGGCTTCGGCGGCCCGCTCAACGTCGCGCGCACCGTTGCCTTGTACGAGGCGGCGGGCGTCGCGGGGTGCCATATTGAGGACCAGACGTTCCCGAAGCGGTGTGGGCAGCTCGCGGGGAAGGACGTGGTAGACCTTGAGACGTACCTCGAGCGCATCGTCGCTGCGGTGAAGGCGCGCCAGAACCCGGAATTCCTTATAATTGCGCGCACGGACGCGCGCAATGCGACGACGTTTGGAGGGGAGAAGGCGGGCGAAGAAGCGTTCGAGGAGGGCGTGAAGAGGTGTGTTTGCACTGCGCGTACTGCGTATCGGAGCTCATGTGTTGCAGACTGAAGGCGGCACTCGATGCGGGTGCGGACGTTGCCTTCATGGAGAGCCCGCGCACGAAGGACGAGGCAGCGCGGCTCGTGAAGGCTCTTGCGCCGCACCCGTGTATGATCAACGTGCTCCCCAACGGACTCACAGGAAATTATACCATCGATGATTGCAAACGTCTCGGATTCAAGCTTGCGATCTATCCGTGTACTGGCTTCAGTGCGTGTCTTTATCTCAGCTTGACATGTGTGTTTAAGAGGCTGACGAGTAGGCTCCGCACCAGTTCCTGCTGCAATTGCGATGGAGAAGTCGTACACTGCACTACGCGACCAGGGTTCCGACCTTGATCATTGTGGTGGCTGGCAGATCAAGGACTTCTTCGAGGTGAGTTCACTCCGTCCGTGCTGACATTACCACGAAGAACTCACGGAAAGCATCGCAGAGGGTCGGCTTGAGGGCTTCGTGGAACTTCGACCGCGAAGTCGCAGAGAGGACGAGGTCAGATGTCAACCCGAAGAAGTACGAAGAGATGCAGGGCCACGATCTCTTCTAGTGGTCATCGAAGTGGACGGTGGTCCATTGGACAGTTTCTGTACGAATGGACTGATGCATTCTATCCCCTGTATACTACCTGTGTGTATAACTGCGAAGTTCTTGGATGAGTTGAAACATCATGTGCACAAAGATCATGACACTACCACTGGCATTAACTGACAACCAATGAGAGTGAACTTCGTGATGTTTTGAAGACAAGGGACTGCCCCGCTGAGCTTCAGAGCAGCAAGCAATTGTCAGTCTCTCGAGATGACCGCTGCCGTCTGTTAATCCATCTGTGTAACACTCGTGCGTGTGCGACGCTCAACCATCTCCATCGCCACTTCAGCTTGCTAGCAAGAAAGCGAACACATCCATCCGGGGGGCTGCACATACTGTATTATACACACCAGATTCCTTCACAATTTCTTCGCTTGCATCTAACACACACCTCCACTCTACGCCGTACGCAGGATGAGGTGCACCCCGCTGTCGGTGCTCACGACCCCACTGATCTCGCCGACCTTGAGCGCATAAGTCGCATCCTCGAACGGCTTCTGCATCTGACCCTATATCACCGACCAACACCGTCAGTACCGTAAATGACATCAAACGAAGCACACACGGACCGGCGTGAAGAACCCAAGATCGCCGCCGTTCTTGTGCGAGCTGCAGTCGCTGTGCTGAGACGCGAGCTCCGCGAACTTGTCCGGCGAGCCGTTGATCTCCGCCCCGAAGTCCTGCAAGATAGCGATCGCCTCCTCCTTCGAGCGCGTGATGTTCGCCTGGCGCACACCCATAAGCGCACCATCCCGCCACAACACACGCACGACAACGCACCTCCTTCCAGCTGCTCGGCCGCCTGCTCCCGCTGTGCTTCACCAGCAGATGGCTCGCGCGCACCTGGGCGGGGCGCTGCCCGCCCGCGCCGCCGTGCGCGCCGGGCAGGTAGTGCTCCGCGCCGGGGAGCGCGGCGATCTCATCCTGGGAGAGGTCCGGCGGGGCCTCCCAGATCGACTCGTGCGTGTTCGTGTTGTAGAAGTACGGCACGCCGCGTGAGGTGGACAGGCGGACTTCCCAAGGGGCCGGCTGGGGGGCGCGGTCGGGTTAGCGGGCGCGTGGGGGCCGTATATGCGAGTCGTATCAAGCCTACCATGTTTTTAGTATCCAGTAGATGGATGGGGGATGTCTGAGGACGGTCGGTGGTGGAGGAATCTGGTTAAACCACAGATTCGGCAGTTGGAAGTCGATAGTTGATCAATCTCCGTAAGGCGCTCTTTACTCCAATAGGC